TGTAAAAGACCATTGAAGACTGGGTAATTTACTATAAAATTTTATTTCGCTTATAGCTCTAGAGGCTGGGAAGTCTAAGGGCATGCATGGTGCAAACCTCTGGTGAGGGTAATCCCATGAAGGAAGGTGGAAGTGAGTGTACAAAGCAGAGAGAGAGATGGGGCCAAATTTATTCTTTTATCAGGAGTCCACTCCCGTGATAACTAACCCTCTCCAATGACGATAACATTCATCCATTCATGCAGGTAGGGGTGTCCTGATGTAACTACCTCTTGAATTACCTCTGGAAGGTTCCACCTCTTAATACTGTTACAATGGCAATTAAGTTGTCACATGAGTTTTAGAGGGGACATTGAAACCATAGCATTTCATCCACAGCCCTCCAAAACTCATGTTCTTCTCACATACAAAATGCAATAATTCTGTCTCAATAGCCTCAAAGTTTTTACCCATTCCAGCATCGACTCTAAAGTCCTAAGTCCAGAGTCACATCAGAAGCAGATATGGATGAGACTCAAGGTATGATTTATCGGGAGGCAAATGTTTCCAGCCGTGAGTCTGTGAAATCAAGTGATTTGTCTTCAAAATATAATGGTGGGACAGGTACAGAATAGACTCTCTCAGTTCAAAAGAAAGAACTAGGCAAGAAAAAGGCATAACTGGTTTCAAGTGAGTCTAAAACCCAACAGAGAAGACAGCCTTAAGTTTTAAATCTGGAGAATAATTTCCTTTGACTCCATGTCCTGAATCCTGGGAATGCTGACTGGGGCCCTCAAACAGCCCTGCTTGCATATCTTTGCTGGGCTCAGTCCATGCTTCAGCTCTGTTAGGTTGGAGTTGCATGCTAGTGGTCCTATAGTTCTGAGATCTCAAAGGTAGCCTCACTCCCATAGCTCCACCAGGCATATCCCTAACTGTGACTCTCTGTGTTGGCTCTGACCCCATATTTCCACTCAGCATTGCCCTGATGGTGGCTCTTTGAAGTGACTCCACTCCCATAGCTGTTTGTGACATCCTTTGATCCTAGGTGGAGAAAGCCATGCCCCTACAGCCCTTGCAGTCTGTGAGCCTGTAACGCCACATGGTTAACACCACATGGTTGCCATCGAGGTTGACAGCTTGTACTTTTTGCACTATAATAATGGCTGTGGAGCTGGGGTCCTAGGCTCAGGGTCTTGCAAAACTCCTGTGGCAGAGGTTCACTCACCGAGGCATGGGTGGATGCAGATTACCCACAAAGATGAGGCTGTGACTCTGAGGCATACCTCAGCAACTCAAGTCCATGGGGCAGGGATGGAACAGTTACTGATTCTGGGGTCAGTGTACAACACCAGCATGGCTCCAGGGCAAGAGGGGTGCTCTGGAGGCTTGAGCTCTGGGGAGCAGGTTACAGCTGAAATTTTGGTTCCAGAGCCAATAGGACACTGCAGCAACTCCAACCCTGGGGGACGGAGTGCCACATAGTGGTAACTCTAGACCCTGAGATGGTAGGGCATGGCAATATCTCAGGCTGTGTAAGGCTGGATGTAGCAGCAGCAAGGCCTCAGGAATGATTAGGCCTGTCTGTGGCTTCGTCCTTGGGTTTTTTGAAGCAGTACAGAAATGACCCCCTGGAGAGCCAGGGTTTCTCAGAAGCTTGGACTCCAGGGAATTAGTCAGTTCCAGGGAGGTGGGGCACTGCAGTTATTTTGCCTGGATTGTTGGGTGACACAGCTCAATCAAAGCTATGTGTCCTCAGAGAGTGGGTCACAGTTTCAGCTTGAGTTTGGAGGGGCAGAGTGCACCAGCGACTAAGATGGGGGCATGGAGCAGTTCCATGGCAGCCTGACCTCGGCAGGTAGAGAGTGGACAGCAGCAGTTTGGCTTAGGTATGGCTACCAGGTGTGTGTGGTATAGTGGTGGTTAAGCCTCAGAGATGGAGGGGTGCAAATGGCTACTCATTTCTGAAGCAGAATGCACTCTAGCAGTGATTCACTTCCAAGAAGGGGCAGTACAGTAGCAGTTCAGGCCATGGAGGCCAGGGCACAGTGTCAGTGCCACCTCTGGAATAGGACAGACATATGGACTTCAGGTAGCTCCATCAGCTGAACTCAGAGCCTGTGAAGACTCTAAGTTTCTCCAGTAGTAAGATTACAGGTGTCCATGGTGTTGATGGGAGCTGCTGAGGTCCTCTCAGTTACCTTTTCCCTGCAGGAAGAAGGCCCTCCTGACTCAGAGCTGGTCCTAACTGGGGGAAAGGTGGTGGAAGAAAGTTGTTTTATCTCCTTCTTCATGCAGCCATCCTGGGTTTCTATGATCTACAAGATTTCTGCTACTCCTTTGGTGTTTTCAAGTGCTCTTCTTTAATTATTTTGGTTGGAATGCAGTTGTTTATTCATTGTTTTGGGGAGTGTGTGTGTGTATGTTTGTGTGTGTATTGATGATGATGAGGGTTAGGAACTTCTAGTTGGCCTTCTTGGTGACATTCTTTAGAATTCTAATCAGACATATTCTAGACCTTTTAATTCTACACTTCTAATCTTTTAACCTCTCTTCTATTACGACCATTTTCTTGTTTCTCTACAGAATTCTTGGTGATTTCTTCAAATTTTTCTTCCAGTTGACTAATTCTATTTTCAGCTATTCCTTGTTATTTAACACATTGACCAATTGTTTTCTGTCAACACTATTTTATATTTGAAATTTATTTGAGATTATGTTCCAAATATGTCCTGTCACTCTATGTGCTTTATCTTTGACTTGATTTTTGTGATTTAATTTTCATTTAAATAAGTTATCTGTACTCTTTACATATTCTATATTTGATATATAAACAGGTGCTCCTAATCTGTGGGACTTCTTGGAGGCTTGTATCAAGGATATCTACTTCCTTCTTTATGGACTCCAATGTAGGACTTATTCAGAGACTGATTGCTTTCTAAATATGTGGCTTTTTGGTGGGATTTCTCCTTTACTACAGACTTTGATGATTCTCAGAACTATACTTTTCCAGGGAAGTGATAGTTATCAACTGATGTATTTAATTCCCAGGATTGTAAACAGTAATTTATGTTGTACACCTCGGGGGGCCTCTCGTCTTTGAAATCTGTGGCCATGGTGTCTTGTTTCTTTCATACTCTCGCTACACTTCTCGCCAAGTGTATCCTCATGTAATCTTTGTTTTTAACACTCATTTCACCTGATTTATAGAAATGTTAGTTGTTTCACACTTTCATAAAAAAGTGGAGTTCTAATTCTGTTTGTCCAAATTGTTTTCGGAACTTTTCTAAAAGTGATAAGAGTAAGAACATTGACTTTTTGGTTACAGTCTTATATTTAATTCGTTATCTTAACTACTTCAGTCATATTTACATTATATATTTCTTATTTATTATATTTGTCTTTCTTTTTTAAAAGAAATACTTAACTTATTTTATAATTTGTAATTTGTAATTTATAATTTGTAATTTTGTACTTTTAATTTTACTATTTTCCATAATTTTAAGTGTATACATTACTAAAGTTAAATTCATGTTCTAAATGATTAATCTTTTCATTTTAACGTTTCTCCTCTATCTTTCTCTGAAATTCACCCTCCTTCTTCTGACTTTAATCAGTTTTATTGTTAGATAGCTAATAATTTATTTCCTTTGATGTATTAAAAATAAATATAAGATGATAATTTTTTCAGAGAAATCTTAATGTTTTTCTCAACATAGTAAATTTGGAGTACAACAATTTTTTTTTCATTTATGTTACCAAAAAAAGGGCAAACATCTCCAAACTTGAGACTTTTTTAGGGGTTCAATGAAGCATAAATGATATCAAAATTAACTATTACTTGAAGGATATTAGCAAGCTTCATTTTCCTAAAAATGTATGGAAGTGGATCATGAAACACCTCAATATGAATTCAAATACATAGATAAAAATTTCCATGTCGCTTTAGCCTATCTCGACATGACTTGGTTGGAGTTATTACATGGAGGACAGAAAGAAGTATAAGAGTAATATGTTTGTGCTTAGATTCTCAAAAAATGATTTGATGGGTCCTTGCTATGTACCAGCAAGTTAGGATTTAAAGCAATGTAATAGGACAAGAGATTTAGATTTGTGGTGCCAAGAATATGACTCAGAGCCATTAGTTTCATTACCAAATTCCAGAGTTTGTGGGACAAAATACAAGATTACATAAGTCACACTCAGCAAGGATGAACATGGGAAGATTTTTCAGCCCTGTGAATTTAACTGTGCTCTGATTAGAAAAGGAGGAACTATACAATACTATACAATAAATTGGAAGGCAGATGAGTTTGTGTAGTTTATTACTATTATAAAAGTAATCCTTTGGCCGGGCATGGTGGCTTACGCCTGTAATCCCAGCACTTTGGGAGGTCAAGGTGGGCGGATCACAAGGGCAGGAGATCGAGACCATCCTGGCCAACATGGGGAAACCCTGTCTCTACTAAAAATACAAAAATTAGTTGTGCATGGTGGTGTGTGCCTGTAGTAACAGCTACTCAGGAGGCTGAGGCAAGAGAATCATTTGAACACAGGAGGCAAAGGTTGAAGTGTGACGAGATCGTGCCACTGCATTCCAGCCTGGCAATAAAGCGATACTTCATCTCAAAAAAAAAAAAAAAAAAGTAATCCTTCGTGGGGAAGTGGCTGTAATCAAGGGACTAGGCAGTAAGAGGGATAGAAATAAAATCTGAGAAGACTTGGAATGGAACTTAAATACATTTCTCTAATTTTAGAGGTCCAACAGGTTTACCTCGCTTCTGTCAACATGTCCCTCTCTGCTGGACTTTCTAGCATCTTGATATCATATGACATTTAGTTTCTCCCCCTGCCCCACCCTTAATGTGTTGCCTATTCCACTTCCCTGGCTCTAACAGCTATTATGATATGGGAAGGGAATGTAGACCAGATTTTGTCCTTCGGGAGGAACCTGCCCCAAAGTGTCATGTCCTCCTTTGTCATTTCCAGGACATCATACTAAATTACATTTCTTATTGTAGCACCTTTTCTGCTGCCATGACAACCATGCGAGGAATGGAACAGGCCATGCCAGGGGCTGGCCCTGGTGTGCCCCAGCTGGGAAACATGGCTGTCGTACATTCACATCTGTGGAAAGGATTGCAAGAGAAGTTCTTGAAGGGGGAACCCAAAGTCCTTGGGGTAAGTTGCAAATCTAGGGGAAGACCAATGGTGTTGTAAACTCATATTTCATAAGACCTAATGCCAAATACACTGTCCCACTAACCTCATAATATAACAGCCAACCCTTGCAACATCAGTATTTACTTTTCACGCTCTTCATCTGAAAAACTATATAGTATTCTATCACAATGTGCTTCCAGTTGAGTTATATTTGAAATATATTGACTTCAGATCTATTCTAGGGTTGTGGATCATCCATGATAATTGTATTTAAACTCAGCATGGAAGAGCAGCAAAATAAAAGGCCACCTATGCACTACTAGCTGACGTCCCCTTTATAGGCCTTCCTGAATAGCTGACAGATGCATATTGCTACTATTTCTTTCTGGCACCTTTTCTTAGCCCCCTGCTCAGAGGATGAAAAATCTATTCTCTGAGCATTTCTATCTGGAGTCTCAGATGAGCATGCCTAAAAGAAATGAAGGATTAAAAGAATGACAGAATAGGGCAGGTGAAAGGACATTAAACATAGGTTTATCACTAGCCCAAGTTTCAAATGGGAAAATGTCACTGTGGATATTTTGGATCCTTTTTTCACATTATTCATTTTTTGGAGGGTATAGGGGGAAATATAGCTATTTCTCATAAAATATGTTATTTATGTTGGCACACACTGGGTTTATCTATTTATTTATTTATTTTTACGTTTTGAGATGCAGTCTCGCTCTGTCACCCAGGCTGGAGTGCAGTGGTACAATCTCGGCTCACTGCAAACTCCGTCTTCCGGGTTCAAGCAAGTCTCCTGCCTCAGCCTCCTGAGTAGTTAGGGATTACAGGCATGAGCCACCACACGCAGCTAATTTTTGTATTTTTAGTAGAGACGGAGTTTCACTATGTTGGTCAGGCTGGTCTCGAACTCCTGACCTCATGATCTGCCCGCCTCGGCCTCCCAAAGTGGGTTTATTTTTTAATGTATGAATAATTATTTAAAAATATACTGTACGTTTTAGAGAAGTTTTAGGCTTAAAGAAAAATTGAGAGCAAAGTACAGGTATATCCCATATGCCCCTTGCCCCCACACATGCATAGCTTTTTAATTATCAGCCTCCCACCAGAGTGTAACCTTTGTACCAACTGATGAACTACCTTGACACATCATTACTAAAAGTACACAAATCACACTGGGGTTCATTCTCTGTGTTGTGTGTTCTATGGGTTTTAACAAAGGTATAGCAACATGAATCTACCTTTATAGTATCACATAGTATCCCACCAATCCCTGGCAACCACTAATCTTTTATTGTCTTCATAGTTTGCCTTTTCCAGAAAGTCAAACAGTTGGAATTGTACAATAGGTGTTTTTGTTTGTTTGTTTGTTTGTTTGTAGGTTGCATTCCTTCACCTAAAAACATGCATTTAAATTTCCTCCATGTTTTCTTATGACTTGATAGTTCATTTACTTTTAGTACCGAATAATATTTCATTGTCTAGAGGTACCACAGTTTATTTATGCATTCACCTACAAAGGACATCTTGATGGCTTCCAAACTTTGGCTATTAGGAGTAACGTTGCTATAAATATCTGTGTGGCAGGTTATGTGTGGATGTAAGTTTTCAACTCATTTGGGTCAGTATGATTACTATATTGTAGGTAATAGTATGTTTAGTTTTGTAAGAAACTGCCATACTGTCTTCCATGTGGCTTTGTCATTTTGAATATTTCAATCAACACTCAATGAGTTCCTGCTGTTCTACATAATCTCCAGCAGTTGGTAGTGTCAGTGTTCTGAATTTTTACCATTCTAACAGGTGCTAGTGGACTCTCATTATCATTTTAATTTGCATTTCCCTTGTGACATAAGATGTGGACCATCTTTTCACATGTCTCTTTACCATCTCTCTATCTTCTTTCATAAGGTGTCTTGTTAAATTCTTTGGCACATTTTTAAACGAGGATGTTTATGTTCTTATTGTTAAGTTCTAAGTTTGTTATATATTTTGGATAACGATCCTTTGTCAGATATGACTCTTGCAAATATCTTCTCCCAGTCTGGTTTGTCTTTTCATCTCTTGACAATGTCTTCTGCAGAGCAGAATTTTTTAATTTTAAGAAAATTAAGATGATTTATTCTGTATTTCATGGTTTGTGCCTTTGGTATTGTATTGACAAATTCATCACCAAACCCAAGGTTATCTAGATTTGGGCCTATGTTCTGTTAGGAGTTTTATAGTTTTTAGTTTAATATTTATGTCTGTGATTCATTTTGAGTTAATTTTTATGAAAGATAAAAGGTATGTGTTTAAGTTTTATTTTTACTTACGGATATCAAGTTTTAAGTACTATTTTTTTAAAAGACTATCTTTTTTTTTCATTGTATTACTTTAGCTCATTACCAAAGATCACTTGACTATATTTGTGTGGCTATCTCTAGGCTTTCTACTCTATTACATTGATCTATTTGTCATTTCTTTGCTAATATCACACAGCCCTGATTTATAGTATGTCCTAAAATTGGGTAGTGTTAGTCTTAAAACTCCTTCTTCTTCTTCTTCTTCTTCAAGATTGTGTTTGCTATTCTAAGCTTTTTTGCCATTCCTTATAAATTTTAGAGTCAGTTTGTCAATATATACAAAATAACTTGCTAGGGTTTTAATGGAGATTGCATTAAATCTACTGATCAAGTTGGGAAGAACTAACATTTTGACAATGTTGAGTCTTCCTATCCATAGACATGGAATATCTCTCCATTTACTTAGTTAATTAGTTTATCAAAGTTTGTAGTTTCTTATAGAGTTTGTACATATTTTGTTAGATTTATACCTAACAAATACCATATACCAATACCTAAATATTTAATTTTTAGAGGTGCTAATTTAAATGGCATTATGTTTTTAATTTCAAATTTCACTTATTGATTATAAGTACGTAAGAAAGTAATTGTCTCTTATGTATTAATCTTGTATACTATAAACCTAATATAATCATTTGTTAGCTCCCGGAATTTTTGGTTGATTCTTTCAGATTTTCTACACAGACATCATGTCGTTTGGGAACAAGGCAGTTTTATTTTTCCCTGACCAATCTATATATCTTTATTTCCTTTTTGTGTCTTACTGTTTCTGTTATGACTTCCAGTACAATGTTAAAAGGAGTAGTGACAGGGCTCATCCCTGCCTTGTTTTTGATCTTCGTGAGAAAACTTTGAGTTTCTCCATTAAGTATGAAGTTCGCTGTAGGTTTTTATAAATATTCTTTATCAACCTGAAGAAGTTCTCCTCTATTGATAGCTTTTTCAAGTGTTTTTATAATAAACAGGCATTGGATTTTGTTCAATATTTTTTCTGCATCTGTTAATACAATCATGTGATTTCTCTTCTTTAGCCTGTTGATGTGATGAATACATTAATCGGTTTTTCAATGTATAGTCAGACTTGCATACCTGGGATAAATCCCAAGTGGTGATGCTACACAATTTTTTTAATGCATTGTTAGATTTAGTTTGCAAATATTTTGTTGAGGATTTTTGCATATTTGTTCATCAAAGACGTTGGTCTGTAGTTTTCTTTTCTTGTAATGTTTTTGCATGGTGTTTTGGTAGATGGTAGTGCTAGCTTCATAGAATTAGTTAAGGAGTATTTCCTCTGTTTCTATTTTCTGTAAATAATTGGTATAATTTATTTCTTAAGTGTCTGGTAGAATTCACCACTGAGCCCTTCTAGGTCTGATGCTTTCTGTTTTGGAAATTTATTAATTATTGATTCAATTTATTTAATAATTATAGACATAATCAGAGTGTCTCCTTCTTCTTGTGTGAGTTCTGACAAATTGTCTTTAAGGGTTATCCATTTTATCAAGGCTATCAAACTGTGGGCGTAGAATTGTTCATAACATTATTTTATTATCCTTTTAATTTCTATGGGAACTGTACTGATGTTCCTTCTTTCACTTCTGTTAGTAATTTTTGTCCTCTCTCTTTTTCTTAGCCTGGCTAGAGATGTTTTTATTTTGTTTATACATACATATATTTTTAAAAACTGCTTTGGATTGTATCGATTTTGTCTACTCATGTCCTGTTTTCAATTTTATGATTTCTGCTCTAATTTCTATTATAGTTTTTCTACTGCTTATTTGGAGTTTAATTTGCTCTTCTTTTTCTAGTTTCTTAAGGTAGACTCTCAGGAGATTGATTTTAGATCATTTTTTAATATATTCATTCAATGTTATAAATCTTCTTCTAAGCATTGCTTTCACTACATCCCATAAATTCTGTTAAGTTGTTGAAATATTTTTGATCCTTTGGAATGAAATGGGATAATGGTACTCTTACTCTGCTATGTTTAGATCCCTGGGTACTCATACTCATGTCCTCATACTCCAGACTTCAAGAAAATATCATATTTGCTCTTCTTTTTTTCTTCCCCTGTATATACTCTCCTTTCTTCAGGTTACTTCTCCTTGCTACAACAATTGCTTTCTAATTCCTAGGCCACTTCTCTGAGCTCATGATAAAAAGAGAGAAATAGTTGTGGTAGAAGTAACATCGTAGGTATCAGAAAAGCAACTCTGGGCTGGTTCTGGCATGCTTCTCTTAACCTTGAAATTATTGGCAACGATAGACATCCCGAGAGGTAATATTGGTAAGAAAATATTCATGGTTATTTATGTGAAAAAAGAGTGATAAGAGAATACTAAGAAGGTCATATGACTATATCAAATGAATGAGACTAAGGATAGCTTAGTGATTGGAAAGGGGGTGGCAGAAGCACTATTTCTGTGGTGGATAATCAGTTTTTACTTTCTTCATCATTTCTAGGTTGTGCAGATTCTGATTGCCCTGATGAGCCTTAGCATGGGAATAACAATGATGTGTGTTGCATTTAGTGCTTATGGACATTACCCTATTTCCGTGTATATCGGGTACACAATTTGGGGGTCAGTGATGGTGAGTAGAGTATCTTTTGATATAATTGAAGATAACATAAAGCAGTTGTCAATACCCTGATCTTTGGAATCCTATTCTAACTGTATCTTGTAATTCTGCAAATCTGAGTGGTATCTAACCATTTCTTACTCAATTTTCTCATATTTAAAGTACTACTGATAGTATTATATTAAATCTAGGTAGATTAAATGTTTATATATATCCGTTAGATATACCACAGCAGCACATTGCCAAAGACTCAAACCAGAATGGCTTAAACATTGAAAGCACTGATTAGTTCACAACAAGATTAGTGGCTTGTCATTTCTAGGATTGCTTCATTCAGTGGTGCAAGGATTTCATCAAGGATTGCTAGCCGACCATATCAGAGGGGAGATGGTTGACACATCCAACTTTTGGTAAATATTTTATATACATATTCCCAAATCAGCTGTCAGTAAGGACAACGAACTTGTCATTATTGGCTTGGACTAATCAAGATTTACCTCTGTAGCTGGGAGGAGTCAACCCTACCTTTAGCTCATGAGAAACTGAACAAAACAATGGTTTGCTTAGCAAGGAGGAAGAGGAGATATGGCTGGTACACAACCAGTTTCTCATATCTAGTCTATTGACTATCATAACTCAGGAAAATTGTTACCTTAGAAAATGAAAATGTTATTTGATATATTTTATTTCATAAATTCAATAAAATAACTATAATTATTATAATTAATATTAAATTAATTATAACTATTATTAAATTAAAAAACTTTTTCCCAAGAGAAAACACAAGATAGTTTTAATGCAAATTGAAAGTAAAATTGAGAATAAAATACCAAGTTTTATCCACTGATAAGAGAAAAATAAAATGTATAAGTTGGGTTTATGTTAGAATCAGGGAATCTATTCTAGCATTGCAGGTTTCCATTTATTTCTAAAACTAAGAATGAAATAGTTTAGAGTTTTATAGTAGAGCTTGCTCTTTGCTCCCCTTCGCCTGTTTACAGCAGAAGTGCAAGATTGGAAGAACAGTAAAGCTGTGCTTTACTTTTAGAAAGTTGCACAATACTTCATATATCCAAAAATACTAATGCCAATAACAGCTCTTATTAAACTCTTACTATCATGTGGATACTTTACTAACTGCTTTATATGTGCAGTTTCATTTCAAACAATCACCACAAACTTCTGATTTTTCATTATCATCATTTTATGGATGAAGAGAGGTTCAGTAACTAACCCAAGATCACAACTGTTTGGTACAGGAATGAAGATTCAAATAGGGTCAGTGTATTTTCAGAATTGCATACATCTGTCCACTTAGTTTTCTGCTTTGATTTCCATTTCCTTTTCAAGATCACATTAAAAACCAGCTTACGTGGTGCAAGCCTTCCACATATGTTCAGTAGATTACCAGGAACTGCAGGAGCCATTTGTCCACTGAGACATCACTCAGACTCTTGTAGGTGGTTCCATGAGATGAGCCTCTACTTAATTGGTGAAATCTTTTCTGCAGCTACTTTCCATTATTCTTTCAACCTTTTTTTCCATATCTCGTCTGTAAAGTGCCTCCTTCTAATCTTTTATACAGTATAAGTACCAATAGCAAGAACCAGTCACAAGTTCCTCTTATTTTTGGCCTCTTCAGTTCTGTTCCTGTATGTTTCACATTCCTCGTTTTTTCCTCTGAGATAGTGTGTACATATTTTTTCCTGTGGTAAATGAAGTCCTCTTATTCAATCCTATCTTCAAATACACAGACATACATACACACTCCTAATGTGTATATATAATTTCTGTATATAATGTTTTTCCAAGGTGCCTTATTGAATTTTTAAAGTAGTTTATGGTAATTTTTAGTTCATATTCTTGAATGTTTGCAATATATATTGTTCGTACTTAAATAAGAATAGTTTTAACCATTTGTTCCAACTATTTTTCTTATATAATTATTTTGGTAAATATATCCAGAATAGTATTACATAATAGTCAGCATCTTTATCTTGATTTTGACTTTAATGAAATGGTCCTACTTTTTTTTCATTAAACATAATTAAAGACCCTTAGACCAAGCCAGATTTCTATAATGTTACAGAAATTATAATTCTTCATATTTTACCAGTAATGTTGCAGTTACTAATATCGAATTGTATTAAATGTCCTGTCCTATCAACACTGTAAACGTGAATAGCAATTAGCATGTAATTTTTTCTTAAATTCATTAATTGTATAAATTAGAATATTTCAATGTTAAAAAATGTTTCTAGAGCTGAAGGAATATCCCAAATGTTCATGATGTATTTTACATCATATGATGGGTAATTCCCTCTAGCGTTTTCATTCCAGTGGTGATTTAGATAATATGAATCATCCGTATGTCTGGGTATTTGGAAGTTAGTTAAATAAATTTATTGAGTTTTTTATTAGTTCAATATTTTTTAATTATAATTTTTGAATCATCTGAAATCAAATTTGAAAAGCAAATTAAAAATTCCAGCAATTGAATACTATAAGGCAGAGAGTCTAACCAACTTGACTAGCTATTTTAGCTAAAAAATAATTGCCTTATTGATGGAATCAAATGAACTACTATATTCTAGTCAACATCTAATTGGGAATTTACATTTTTTGCTAGTATTTTACTTATAACTTTAAAAATACTCTAAATGAGAATAATTTTAGTGTATTTTTTGTTTAAATATCATCATCAATTTTGGTACTGTATAAGAACTACTTTGTGTCAGAAGTTTGGAAACTTTATCTCTTAGTGCCCTCAAAGAGTTTTTTAATATCATTTCAGTTAGATGTTATTTGAAAACCTTGATAAATTCTCCCATGGTTTTATCTGGTATAATTTCTCTGTTCTTTCTGGGAAAAGGGAAAATAATGTGCAAACCTTTGTGATTTTGTCTAAGATAATTGGTCTGAGTAACATATCTATCTAATTTAGAATTAAGTTTAGTAAGTTATGACTCCCAGTACTGGTTTAAAGTTTTTTACCTTCATTTTTTCTCTCATTTTTAGTTTATTATTTCAGGATCCTTGTCAATTGCAGCAGGAATTAGAACTACAAAAGGCCTGGTGAGTAATATTTTCTTTTTTTTTTTTTTTTGGTATCAAAAAAAAGAAAGGATTAATAAAAAATGTATTCTGCCAGGGTGTAAAATAGATTTTGTTTCTTTGTTTGTAAAAACTCAGGAGCAATTGTGCGTTTTACCTACTAAAATCTGCCTTTCAAAAATTGCAGTCAGGCTAATTACTGACATAAGACTGGATATTTTGGCAAGGTAGGGAATCTTACCCTTGCAAAGGAATCTTTTTGAAGATATAGAGAATTATTGAGAAGAAATATCAAGCAGGACCACTCCAGCAACACCCTGCGGCAGGAGTCAGCCCATGACAGTGACACCAAGCATCGGTGTGGCGTAATATTTACTGACCCATTGATTATAAGGTAGATTCCAACTGTATCCAAAAAGGATTTTGAATTTTCAATAAAAGAAATTCACAATAAGGTTATTACACAAGAAGCAAATTTAAAATGTAACTCTCATGCCAAGCAAGATGCCTTTCATAAAGCCAATACAATGCGAAAGTCCATATCTCAATAAATGTTTTTTTCTTGTTAAAGTCCATATTCGAGTTTTCTTTGTTCAAAAGATAAATATCAAATTCTGGAACATGATCAATATGTGATTTTCAAATCTGGCCTAACCCAACTCCCTAGTGTCCCCTCCAGCTACAGCCACATGACACATACTCCTCACACTTTGCTGTGCAAGTTGAGTTATTTTTTCTTTTTCTTTTCTTTTCTTTTTCTGGTTTCTTTTTTTGTTTGTTTTTTGTTTTTTTGAGACAGAGTTTCGCTCTTATTACCCAGGCTGGAGTGCAATGGCGCCACCTCAGCTCACCACAACCTCCGCCTCCCAGGTTCAAGTGATTCTCCTGCCTCAGCCTCCCGAGTAGCTGGGATCACAGGCATGCGCCACCACGCCCGGCTAATTTTTGTGTTTTTAGTAGAGACAGAGTTTCTCCACGTTGCTCAGACTGGTCTCAAACTCCTGACCTCAGGTTATCCACCTCCACTCGGCCTCCCAAAATCTGGGATTACAAGCATGAGCCACTGCGCCCAGTCAGCAATTTTAGTTCTTATTAAAAGCCTCCTTACCTTTATCCATGAGAAGAGAATGTACAGAAAAGAACATACTGCTGAGAGAGAGAATATACAAAAGGTATAGAGGCATGACAAACAAGCAGCATTTAGAAAAATGATAAGAAGCCGGGCGCAGTGGCTCAGGCCTGTAATCCCAGCACTTTGGGAGGCCAAAGTGGGTGGATCACGAGGTCGGGAGATCGAGACCCTGGCTGACACGGTGAAACCCCGTTTCTACTAAAAATGCAAAAAATTAGCCGAGTGTGGTGGTGGGCGCCTGTAGTCCCAGCTACTCGGGAGGCTGAGGCAGGAGAATGGCAGGAACCCAGGAGGCGGAGCTTGCAGTGAGCCGAGATTGCACCACTGCACTCCAGCCTGGGTGACAGAGCAAAAAAAAAAAGAAAAGAAAAAAAGAAAAAAAAAAGAAAGAAAAATGATAAGAAATCAGGCTTCAGAAGCAAGGAATGGCAGGGAAGGACACAGACAGGGCTGTCCAGCTAAAGTGTGAAGGACATTGAAAACCCTGCTAAAGAGATTTGGAGATTATTTTATGTGCCCACAGGAATCATCTGAAGAATTTACGCTAGGGGATAATGAGATCACGTTTGTGTTTTGGCAAGAGATTAGAGTTGAAACCACAAGATAAGTTAGAAGACTATTGAAATAATCAAGATAAAGACAGATGGCAGTAAGAAAGAAACGGTGGGTATAAAGTGATTCATGGAGATATATTTGAGGATGTTGTTGGATTGTTTAATTGATTTTCATTCCTTCCTAGGTCCGAGGTAGCCTGGGAATGAATATCACCAGCTCTGTACTGGCTGTATCAGCAATCTTAATCAACACAATTAGCTTGGCGATTTATTCATTTTATCACCGTTACTGTAACTACTATAGCAACCCAAATAACTGTCACGGGACTGTGTCCATCTTAATGGTTGGTGCTACCTCTTTTCAGGGGATATTATCATAGAAGCAAGTTTGGGGAGTGCAGGCTCTGGCAACAACAATAATTAATAATCCCTAATTGCTGAATGACTGGGAAGTTGGAGTGATTAAGAAATAAAATAATCTTTCATTTAGGATTTAGGTACGTGTCTCATCTCTGTCTCTATTCTTCTATATGTGATGAGGCAAAATGGGAAGAAAGCTTATAGTTATAGAACACCTACTCATTAATAGTCACTGTGCTGGGTATTTTGTATAAATTTTTCTGTTCAATTTTAAAACATTGATGCAGTATGTACTGTTATCTCCTCTAAAACTGGGGCCCAGATGTCAGTTCCTGTTCTCCAATAATGAAGTAAAATTGTCTTGAACAGTATTTTACAAGTGTCAAGTAACTCAGTATCCTTTCCAATATCTTTGGAAGTTCTTGCAAGGTTAACCACTTTTATCCTCAACATCTAGCTCCTGATAAATGCTTAATCTTCATTCTGAATTTTACTACTTTTTTGTACCATTTTTTCTTTTCTTAATGCTATCCTAATTGCTTTATTCTGAAAATGCCACCTACACAGTATTTTGTAGGTAGTAAAACTTCTTGACATTTTGGGCCATTGGGTAATTGTGGGGAGGAAGAGTTCTTCCAGCACATCACAGCAGACTAAAACGCACAATTAAATCTTTATTATTAAAAAGCCTGACCAGGCGCCGTGGCTCACGCCTGTAATCCCAACACTTTGGGAAGCTGAGGTGGGCGGATCACCTGATCCGGGAGTTCAAGACCAGCCTGGCTAACATGATGAAGTCTCGTATCTACTAAAAATACAAAAACTAGCCAGGCATGGTGGCATGTCCTGTGATCCCAGCTACTCGGGGGGCTGAGGCAGGAGAATTGCTTGAACCTGGGAGGCGGAGGTTGCAGTGAACCGAGATGGACCCATTGCACTCCAGCCTGGGCAACAGAGCAAGACTCCATCTCACAAAAAAGAGAAAGCCTATTGGTCATTTTTCAACACCCGCAAATTTTTTGTTACTTTCCCTCTATATGAACTTTCAGCCTTTCGCCTTGCTGCTTAGTTCTCTTCCTTACTGTGTCCTTCCCTCATGTAAACGTGGAAACCCAGCATTCTTCCTTACTAGGCAGAATCAGTCGCATTCTGTTGACTTCATTCCTAGCTAATTCTACATAGTTTTGTGGGCTATATAATCATGCCAAAATAACCCCTTGAGGTGTCTTTGCTAAACTAATTTACTTCCCCTGAGATTTCTAATGCTTTTTGTAGTAAGCAATTTTACATCTTGCCACTCGGTCACAATAAGAAAAAGCTTCTATAGAGAATTTGACAAATTCTTTCAAGGTCATTCAGTTAGAAATTGGCAAAAAGATTAGATTCTACAACTTCTTGTCTCTAATTCCCCTATTATTTGCTATTGTTATCCTGAAGAAGAACCTTACTTTTAGTTTATGAAGGTCGCTTCATTGGTAGATTTTGAGGACACAATGATAGAGACAAAATCTGGAATTGGCCAACTCGATAGGGCTGATTTCTTGGGCATGGGACCCGCGCAGTTACTCAGGACTTCATGGTTCAAAGAGCCCTGTGCTTGATCTAATGCTCTGCTGTTGCTATCTTGATTTTTAAAAAAAAAAATTTTAATCAAGAGACTCTAAATTACGTAACTGGTTCTGCGTTCATCTCAATTACATTTCCCAGAGTCCATGATGAATTCCTGTTAATTGTGTGAACACTTTTATGCCTGTTTTTATAGCAGAGGACCTCCATAAGGGCTTCCTGGGATTTGAAGCAATGGTTCTATTCTTGCCTGGGCACCTGCACAATCAGTCCACAGGTCTATATACATGCTACTTTTTCTGGAGGTCCAGCCCTGTACCTGTTTTTGTAAATAAAGTTTCATAAATAAAGTTTAATTGAAATATAATGAAGCCCATTTGTTTACATGTTGTGTAGTGATGCTTTTGTGTTATAACATCAGGTTTGAATATGTGTGACAGAGACCTTATGGTCTGCAAAACCTACAATGTACATTATCTGGCCTTTATGGAAAGCTTGCCATCTTCTAGTCTACCCTTCTAGATGGCAAAATCCTTGAAGACAGGGGAACTGTCTGTTTAGTTTGATGCTCTCTTCTGTGCCTACAGCAATGTTGGAAACACAGAGGCCACTAGAGCTGTTGAAGGCACAAGAAAATAAAAAAGCAATGAATGCAAATATTCTCAAGGTCTCCTTAAGTCTGCATCACTCATATCCTGAGCTCTTGGTCTATTGGCTCTTCCACAACAGAGGGACTATCCCTAACCATGGAGAGAAAAAGAGAGAATATTTAAACCAGATAATCCCTGCATCAATCCAGGGTAAAATGAATAGAAATGAGTACACTGCCCAATGTTCTCCGAATTTTGACCGTGTTTCTTGGCTGAAGACTAGACCTAAAGTCAGTGCTCTGAAGAGATGGATTAAAGACTGACCTACTTGATATTCACTGTTGTATTAGCTTCTTACTGTTACTGTAACAAATTACTACAAATTTAGTGTCTTAAGACAACACAGTTTGGTTATCTTATATTTCTGGAGGTCAGAAGTTCAAAGTGGGTCTCACTAGGCTAAAATCAAAGTGTTGGCAAGGGCGTACTCCTTTCTGAAGGCTTAGGTGACAATAAGTTTTATTGCCGTTTCTGGCTTCTGTAGACTGCCTATGTTGCTTGGTTTGTCATCCTGTCCTCTACCTTCAAATCAAGCATTGCAGCATCTTCAAATGTCTCTTGAACTCTATTCTGCCTCTTGCTTCCACTTCTAAGGATTCTGTCATTATGCTGAACCCACCTGAATGATCCAGGAAAATTATCTTACATCAACTAATAAGCAACCTTAATTTCATCTGCAAATTTAATGCTTTTTCTTACGCAAAAAGAACAATGGTCCCCGAGGGAGGTCTGCATTCTAATCCCCAGAAGCGAAGGATTAGGAGGACAAGGATGCAGACCTCCCTGGGGGACCATTACTCTGCTTACAATCACTAACATATAGAATCATAATATTCTGTCAATGATATGAGTTTCTAGTACTCAATAGGATAAGATGACAATTATCTTTATACTACCTTCCTAACTTTTTAAAGCACTTTCATCTTCCATGCCCACAATAGCACTGGGAGGTACTGAACCAGGGAATAAACGTCTGTGATTATTTTATCAGTGAAAAAAGTGAGAAGTTACTTCAGCAGATCAATAATTGGTCAAGGGAATGGCTGCCACTAGGAGGCAGGTCTCCTGACTCCCAACCGGTGCTTTTTATCTGATGACATTGTGGTTCCTGGTAAATGTTTCCTCTTGTCATCTCCATTTCTCACATTCTTTTGTTATGAATTTTCTCCTAGGGTATGGATGGCATGGTGCTCCTCTTAAGTGTGCTGGAATTCTGCATTGCTGTGTCCCTCTCTGCCTTTGGATGTAAAGCGATCTGTTGTACCCCTGGTGGGGTGAGTATTGGCCTTCATTTGAAGATTTCTGTATTAGTTTTCTATTGCTGTGTAATCACTTACACAAACTTAGAGTCTTAACACAGAACACATTCATTATCTCTCAGTTTCCATGGTTCAAGAGTCTGAGCCCAGCTGAAGTAGGTCCTAGACTCAGGATCTTACAAGGCTGTCATCAGGAAGTTGGCTGGGGCTGTGGCCTTGCCTGAAGCTTCTGATTCTCTTCCATGCTAATGTGGTGGAATTCATTTCCCCTCAGTTGGAGAACTCATGACAATGTATTTTATCTTTGAAACCAGCAGGCTGCTAATGCTTTAATCCTCTCATAAAGGGTTCACACAAACGGGTAAGGTCCATTCAGAATAATGCCTTTTTTGATAAATTGAAAGTTAAGTAGTTAGTACCTACACACAGGACTTGTATCTCATCCTATACACAGGTTCCATCCACACTTGAGAGAAGGGAATCACAAGGGGTCAGTGAGTGCCACCTTAGAACTCTGCCTAACACAATAGCTACATAAAAGCTCTTTTCCCCTTTCTGTCCACCTCAAAGTGCATAACCTCTGAATCCAGATATGAGGATATTTCACAATGAAGAGGACCCCCAAAAATATTTTATTTTATTCCATTATCCTATTACAACAATTTTTCCTGGAATATTTCCATGAAATATCTTGATCTCAGACTTCTCTATCAGTCTGTGCCCACCTACCCACTCTCTTACCCTGAGACCTGCAGCTGATGCTGCTCCTGGCAGCTAAACCCAAAGAATGTCACACGGAGAGAGGAAAGTAGGGAATGGAAGGAAAGAAGAGACCAAGAAAGAAGCTCTAGGAAGAATGGGGAGGGATATCCTCCAAGGGTTGAGGGTGCCAGAATGAGGAAATGGATAGTAAAACCCCAACAGCTACTCATTAGCTTCATTACACAAAGGCCCACAGGCAGACAAAACCGACAACCAAATAATAAAATAATCATACATGATCATAGTTTGATGACATGGTTCTTCTGGTGCCCTTCTCCATCATCTTGTACCTCTTTGTCTTCTTTTGAGATTCCCAGGCAACACCACATCCCACTCCTCTACAGCCCTTCCTCACTGAAGAGAGATTGACTATAGCACATTAACTCTAATAGTGGGTTTTGCATTGTAAAACCTGAGAAGTGAGAGATTCTCAGCAATTACCAATGATTTTATAATTTCATTGACCAAAGCTTTTTTATTTTTACTGGGTGAAACATTTGGACATGGAAGCAAACTCTTTAGTAACTTTCATGTCAGAGTATTTAAGCCTGTGCTCCCTTCGGCTCTTAGCATAGGAGCTGGGGAATGTTGTTTTCCTAATCTCTTGGTGTGAATTCAGAAAAGCAGTGGTTTGGGGGCCTATGATAGCTAGGTCTCTATCTCTTCCTGGTTCTTTCACCAACACTATGTGACAATGAGTTTGTGGAAGAACAACCAGAACTTTTCTGAGTTTCGCGATGATCCCTGCTATTCTGGGCCAGTGTGGTTTTTGCAATGCGTTATTTATAACCAGCAAATCATGATTTGGGTATGTTGATGCCATCAGCATGAACAACCTCGTTTGGAAGAACAGCCTCATAGTTTTCATGACACCTTGGTTTACCCAATGTATTGTGCACTGTCATCCACATGTAAGACTGATTTACTCGCAAGACCAGGGCAGTGGTCATCAGCAGCTCGGGTCAAGAGCTACCACTGAATGTTGTCTCCTACATCAGGCCTGATCTAAAGAATGACTGAGAAGCCCCACATGCTTGATCTTGAGAATGAATCAGAGAAGAAAGAGTAAACTCTGATGATGATGACTTTATGTGGGCAGGAAAGGGGCACTCTGAGGTTATTTGGGCGACTCACCTATGGCATTCTGATTGTTTCACAGGTTGTATTAATTCTGCCATCAAATTCTCACATGGCAGAAGCAGCACCTCTCACACCACTTAATGAGGTTTGAGGCCACCGAAAGATCAACAGACAAATGCTCCAGAAATCTATGCTGACTGTAACACAAGAACCTCACATAAGAAATTACCAGAATCCAACTTCGATACTGAGAGACATATTGATATTATTATATGTAATCCAATTATGAACTGTGTGTGTATATATAGAGAGATAATAAATTCAAAATTATGTTCTCATTTTTCCCCTGGAACTCAAAAACTCATTTCACTGGCTCTTTGTCGAGAGTACTAGACGTCAAATTAATAAATAATGCATTTAATGAGGCAACAGTACTTGAAAGTTTTTCATTCATCGTAAGAACTTTATAGGCATTAAATAAGGCATTAAATTGGCAAATAAGATCTGGAAGCAGAAAAGCAAAAAAGGTATTGCTAAAATGAGGCCTCCATGCAAAACACATACTTCTGCTCCCCTGTATAATATTCCTCCCATTTATTTAACTTTTTTCTTCTCCCACCTATGGGGACCAAAGGGCCTTTTCCTTCGGAAGTGGAGACACGTGGCCATCTCCCCCTCCCTTTTTCCTCTCCTTCTGTTCTTCCCCCATAGAAAGTACTTTGAAATAGCACAGTCCATCCTTGCACGTGCACAAGCTATTATTTGAGTAAAAATATACATGGAGTAAAAATCACATTAAGCATCAGATTCAACTTATATTTTCTATTTCTTCTTCTTCCTTTCCCTTCTCCCACCTTCTACTGGGCAGAATTATATCTTAATCAAATTTGTATCCTATGCCATATATGGAAATGTGCAACATATGATATTTGTTAAATACATTTGTTTTTATTGCAGAGCAAAAATAAAATGAGAAGCAATACTTTCATGTGCTACCTACTTCCTTTTCAGATGCAAAATGGTGGAAAGAGACTAAGTGTTGATGTCAAAAATACAGTGTGGTGCTAAATAATGTGGGCTTTCTAATCAGACAACCCAGGGTTTTTATCTTGCTATCCCATCTTTGTTGTTTACTACCTATGTAGCTATGAACATGCCACAAAATTTCTCTGTGCTTCATATTTCTTTTCAGGAAAGTAGTAATAATATTGTCTGTCCTATAGACCTATGATACTTGGTATCGTATGATATGATACTTGGTATAACAAAGGTAGAAAAACCAGGACTCTGATTGGCACATATGGAGCCTCAAAGATATGTATGTGTTATATCTTTGCATATAATTTCTTTATATTAATTACATATATGATATAATTACTTCAACATATAATGCATAGATATGTATTTTATATATCAAGTTATTATATTCAGCTTTCTTGCTATAAAATTATGTTTTATTTTAATGTCACAATCTCATAATTATATTTATGACATCATATTTTTAATTTCTTGGGAAAGTTTTTCTTATTCCAGCTTTAAAATATATTATTTTGTATTTTCTTCCCTTGCTTAATAATTTTGTCTCTGGCATTTATTTTTATGAATATTGTTTAATATTGTATATTGAACATATTTTTCATATCATTGGCAATTAAGACTATAGTACTTAATGTAGAGCCCATCATCACCTCACTGACATTAACTGTTAATGTTTTACCATGTCATAAAGAGATATTGGTCTATTTATGTACCTAATTCCAATCTTTTAATTATTGTGTATGTGCTGATATCTTGTTTTATTTCTCCAATATTGTATTAATATTTGACAGATTTTGGTACTCAGCATTTATTCCCCATTTGTTCTGACAATGACAGTCTGATTTCCTCCAAAAAATCACCATTATCTAATTCTTAATTTATGTACAAGGGTGGAGCTCACTCGACTCCCAGCTTCAGGAGTTGACCTGTGTCCTACATCTGGGAAATGGCAGAATTACATCAACTCAGCTAGAGTGAAGTTCTGTGGTAGCCTTGTGACCTAGGAAAAACCAATTGTGTGAATGACTGACACATTTCCAATCAAAATTAATCTCATCATTTTCACTTCAGTGACCAAGAAATGGTCTCCCCATCTTTCCTCTTTCCTGTTGGGTTTGGAGCTGTGAGGAGGTAAGTTTGCTGCCATCAGCAGCCATATGAACCCCGTGACAGACAGATGCTCACAGGCAAAAGCAGAACTGAGAAGTGCCAAGTGAAAGATCAGACCCTAATGTAATTCTTTTGAGTCTCCAAGTCAAGTTTTACCTGGAGTTAACCCGATCCCTGGGGTTTTAAATATATAAAGACAAGGAAAGAGATGTATTCAGATAGTGTAATAACTGGGCAAAATCCTTCAATGGCTTCCTCTCTAATTCAGAATAAAAGCCAAAGCTCATGTAAATCCTACAAGTCCTTACATCACCTGATTCTTTGTTGTTTTTTGGATTTTTTAAATATCCTGACTTAAATCCTGATATATTGCTTTGAGAGTGCCTTCTCTTGGTGATAATTAGTGCATACATAATTTTCTTAAGTTTAACACTTATATAAGCAACCTAAGATTAGTGCATTTTTAGCTGTAAAAAGTTCATGCAAATATTTTGTGCTATTAGTGCAAGATATTATGATTCCAACTTTTAGACAAGACCACCTGCACTTGTTTCATGTCATGTGATTTGAAATTTATTCTTCATTTGGTTATTCTTGGTTTTATCTATATGTGACTAGAAAGCAGTAGGAAAATGTCCATGATACTTTGCCTCCTTTTGCTACATTTACAATAAAAATAATTTTTGGTGTTTTTTTTTTTTTTTTTTTTTTGCTGTTGTTGTTGTTTGAGAGAGAGGGTCTGGCTGGGTTGCACAGGCTGGAGTGCACTGCAACCTCCACCTCCTGGACTTAAGCCATCCTCCCACCTCAGCCTCCTAAGTAACTGGGACTACAGGTGTGCACCACCATACCCAGCTAATTTTTCTATTTTTTGTAGAGATGGTGTTTCACCATGTTGCCCAATTTGATTCCCTGTCTGCTTAATGATTGCAAGTGGCTGTTCTGCTAGGTTGAAGTTGGGCCAAGAATTACCTTTGTAGTGGTTGGTATGGTTGGGATGGTATGGTTAAAGTTGAACTCATTATTGAGGGAAGTATCTTGGGACCGTGCTTTGCCTTGTAAATAATTGGGGGTGGGGGGGAAGAGTTATAAGGTCTTGAATATATAAGGTGATCTTATTGATAACTTCAAACTATAAGTAGTCAAAGCTCTTCAGGTAGATGCAAGATATTTGTGACTAAAAATGATTTTTTAAAAAACATCTTAATCCAGTATTTTTGTTTTTTTTTTTTTTGTCTTAGACTCACTGAGGCAAAATGAAGCCTGAATTCACGCTAAGTTAAATTTGTGTTATCATATATTTCTGTCTCCTTTCTCCTCTAAAATCTAATTTCTCTTCTCTACCAGTCCTAAATATCAAAGATTATAAGAAAAGTAAGGATAATTAAAGGTTAAATAATATTGAGGCTTGTGTATTTTTTCAGCCAATGATAAAGAAATGGGCAATCAATAATGAGCAATTGGTTAGTGTACTATAATCAGCATTGCTGCAAAACTGCTATCTATTGAGAAAACATGCATCCAACTATTAAAAGTAATTTATGTTTATAAAATCAAAGTAAGCTCACTCATAAATGTAAGAGAAGTCTCAAAGGGCTCATTGTTTTAACAGTGATAATAGGTGTTTTTACATTTGAGGTTGTAAAATGATAATACTGAATACTGTATGCAAAGTCAGGGGGCAAATCAACATTTCTAACAGTGATGTGTCACCCTTACATTACATTACTCAGTAAATTGGATCATAGACGATGGAACAGTTTGGGGAAGAATCATCTCGGGTGTGCCCAATGACCATTAGAAATCTGTAGTTTATCTTAAATTAACTATTTTTTAAATTTGCCATTTTCTACAACTCTTATTTTTCCTGATTCTGAGTCCTAATCCCATAAACTTGCAATACTCTATGGAAAGGATTTCAAGAGAGATATACTTTTATCTTTAATAAAACCATGAATTACACCAGAAGGAAGGAAATAAAGAGTTGAAGGTCACGGCTGTGGCTGCTGAAGTAATCGATGCATTTTATCTTAATGCTTGACTAGAAATTTCCTGTATCTTCATTTCGTATCTTATTATGAATCTTCATCATTAAAATGTATGATAGCTTTATGGTAGGTCTTGAAATCAGGTAGCATATGTCTCATATTATTTTTCTTCATTAACAAAATTGATTTGGTCATTCTAAGTCTTTAATTATTTCATGTAAATTTTTGAATTACTTCATCAACTTTGTGCAATCCAAAAAGACCTTCTTGGATTTTGATAAAGAAGGTATTGAGTCTATATAGGTCTATAAGGGAAAATTGCCAACTTAACAATATTGAGTTTTCTAATCCATTAACAGAATATACCTATTTATTTATTTATTTATTTATTTATTTATTTATTTATTTTTGAGAGGGAGTCTCGCTCTGTCAACCAGGCTGTAGCACAATGATGCAATCTCGGCTCACTACAACCTCTAACTCCTGGGTTCAAGTGATTCTCTCACCTCAGCCTCCAAGTACCTGGGATTACAGGCATGTGCCACCAAGCTAGGCTAATTTTTTGCATTCTTTTAGTAGAGACGGGGTTTCACCATGTTAGTCAGGCTAGTCTTGAACTCTTGACCTCAAGTGATCCACCTGCTTTGGCCTCCCGAAGTGCTGGGTTTATAGGCACGAGCCACCACTCCCAGCCTATTTATTTAGGTCTTCATTAATATGTCTCAGCAAGGTTTTGTCATTTTCTGTTAACCTGAAGAACTTCCTTTGACATTCATTCCATTGATTTTTTTCTGGTACTGAATTTTCTCAGATTTTTTGTTTGTTGTCTGAATACATCTTTATTTTACCTCCAGTTTTAATATTTTCACAGGATGTTGATCCTATGTTACAGCTTTTACCTTCAAGTACTTTAATGATGTCTTTTAATTGTCTTTTGGCTTACATAATGGCTTATGGGCAGTCTGCAATTATTCTTACCTTTATGCTAATGTGTCTATTCTTACCCTCTGCTTTTAACATTTTATTATTCATTTTTAGCAATCTAAGTTATGCTTTGGTGTGGTTTTATTTTTGCTCATCCAGCTTGTGATTGATTAGTTAAGCTGTTTGCATCTGTGGGTTTATACTTTTTATCAAATTTAGAAATTCCAATGATTTATTCAAATATGTTTTCAATTCATTCTCTCTTCCTCTTGTTGGATTCAGATTACATGTTAGACCACTTCATATTGTCCCACTGATGTTTTATTAATCTTTCTAGACTTTTTTTCCTAATCTTTGCTTCAGATTAGAGATTCTATATCCATCTTCCAGTTTACTAACCTTTTCTTCTGGAAGATTTAATGTGTTGTTAATCATAGGCAGTGATTTATTCACTTCATGTATTGTGGTGTTTATCTCTAGAAGTTCTATTTGGTGCTCTTTTGTATTTTTCATTTTTTTTTTTTTTTTTTTTTTTTTTGAGACGGAGTCTCGCTCTGTCGCCCAGGCTGGAGTGCAGTAGCCAAATCTCAGCTCACTGCAAGCTCCGCCTCACGGGTTCACGCCATTCTCCTGCCTCAGCCTCCTGAGTAGCTGGGACTACAGGCGCCCGCCACCGCGCCCAGCTAGTTTTTTGTATTTTTTTAGTAGAGACGGGGTTTCACCGTGTTAGCCAGGATGGTCTCGATCTCCTGACCTCGTGATCCGCCCGTCTCGGCCTCCCAAAGTGCTGGGATTACAGGCTTGAGCCACCGCGCCCGGCGTATTTTTCATTTTTATACTCTTTGCATCCATGTATTTCTAGGAATTCTTATGCATGATTATAATATATATTCTAAAGCACTTCTCCTTTGTTGTAATCTGT